TCCGAGTGGTAACATTTAAGGAACTCGTTTTATGGCGATATTTATTTTTATTAAGAATTTTCCTAAAATCTGGTTTGGCACGAAACTCAAATACTAACAATACAGTTGTAAAAAAACACTTTTTTGTTTTTGCTTGATGGGTACACCACATTCATTGTATTCGCATTCAATAGATATGAACTTTCTACACACTCTCCCGAGTTGAATATGAAAAACATTTTACGACAAGAAAGCATTTTTGTTAAAATGTGTCAACTGCAGTAGTACTAATCGTACATACATATATACAAATACTATATGTAAATATCTTCCTCAAAAACTAACAAACTTGGAACAAAGATTCTTTATAGTGTAAGACATACGCTTGCAAATCCATTTCTTTAGGCGTTGTTTCATTTGACTTTGCATCTAATCTCTGCAACCCGCTGATGGGAAATTGAGTTTGTATGCATACACATTTACACATCTATGTATGAGTGTTTTAACATACTCGTGGCTGGCAGCAAATTGTTTCATTGTCAAAAGCATCTGTACAAATATAAAGGAGATAATACTGAAAACAATCACCGAAGACGTAAGGTGTGCACTGCATGAACAGAAAAACAAGCGCAAGCAGAGGCAGTGAATGAGGAATGGTTTTGAGGTACTGCACGGTGGAGAGAATATAGAATATAGGTGGCGCCGATGGCAACCCCGCTAATCGGCTCTCAGTGAATTTGACAAAATCAGCTGTTTTGCTGACGTCACAGTCGAGATGTCAGCAGTAGTGATGTGCTGAGTCAATGCTTACCGAAATATTTAGGTTTCGAATAAAAACGCACATAGGCCAAAAATATGGAAAAAACGGTTCAGGGGAGACTTGCCTATCAAAACCCAAATGTAAGAGCCAATAGAGCTTTTAATACTGATTCAAATGAAAGATGTATATATGTTGGTTCGAGGCCATAATACAGACAAACTCTTACTTGTTTGAAGCATTTTTGTCCCAGCTGGATCGGACGATATCATTTTTGCCTAATATCTTGAAATTTTTTAAATCGGGAAATAAGACTTTTGCTTATCATGAAGTTTACAGAAACGTGAAAAACGATATTTAATACGTGCGTAACTTTTATTTTGACCTCCAATAATAACAACAAATTGGATGAATTGATTTTAAAACGAAGTTTTAATTAAATTTTATCTAAGCGTAGAACTGAGAGTTTACTTACACTTCAGTAATTTACAGTTGGTCACCATAGTAACCGGCAGCAGCCAAAGGTCTTCTGATCAAGTTTTGGTCACTGAATATACATACATTCATATGTATGTATATGCTAAGTGTTTATTGTTTGCTGCAAAATTTTTAAATATTTTTTCAGCTCAACTAAGTGAAAGCTCCTTTCGAAAGTAACATTTTTCATAAAAACCAAAAAAATAAAAAAAATACATACATATATTGTATTAACCAAAATGTTCGTACAAAAAAGGTCAATCTTATCAAAGTGTCATAAATTTTACTTAGATAAATTTCATTGTTTCATATTTTGCGCTCAAATGCAAGTGCTAGCAGTGCAAAATATGTATACGGTATTGTTGCTTTTGTGTTGCGAAATCCATTTTAATCCATATGAAAATATTTCCAAAATCTCATGTATGCAGATTTTCACAAATAAGTTTATATGCGTGTATATGTTTTGGTTCATTCAAGTGCATAAGTATTAGTAAAAGCTGCGCTTATAAATGCCGGAGCAT